ATATATATATATATATATATATAAAGCGCAGTCACACCGCTATGATAAAGTGATCATGACGTCATATTGTCATCAAGGAAATGTTATTTCAATCAAACGTTGCTGTATAATGTCGAGCCAAAGAGAATACAAGCTAGCAGTGAGGATGCAGTAGTCGCTAGCCTGATGTAGATGGAGGGATTATATGTGCTCGTTGGTTTATATGTTGCTGCCATGTCACTAGTCAAGTAGGAATCGCTATAGAATGCTTAGAGCGATAAACGAACAGCTTCCATGCAGTGCGCATATTCGCATACATCGATCACTTCTGCTATCTACTCGATCGCTTCTACTCTGTTCACAGCTACAACGACAGAGCAAATGGCTGCTACCGCATTGTCAGATTTAAATAAAGTTATTAAAAATATTTCATATTGATTATCGAATGCTTTTTATCGAATGATTATCGAATGCTTTTGTTTGATTTTACGTGTGTGGTGTTATCGGCGATTAAGTTCATTTACCCTGGTTAGGGTTAGGGTCAGGGTTAGGGTTAGGGTTAGAGTCAGGGTTAGGGTTAGGGTCAGGGTTAGGGTCAGGGTTAGAGTCAGGGTTAGGGTTAGGGTTAGGTTAAGTTCAGGGTTAGAGTCAGGGTTAGGGTTAGGGTTAGGGTTAAGGTCAGGGTTAGAGTCAGGGTTAGGGTTAGGGTTAAGTTTAGGGTTAGGATTCGGGGTATGGTCAGGTTATGCTTATTTGCTGTGAGATGTGGTACCAACCGCTTGGGTAATAAAGAATGGATAATGTGTTGCCATGTGCGCAATAATGCACGACGTAACAAATTATAGGGTAACGGCAGGATGAAAAGGAATTCGTTCTGAATTAATTGCTTTGATGTGAATGCGATGTGAGGACGAGAATGCGGTCAACGTTCATCATTGTCATCATGTATAATGTATGTAATTATGCTGTTCAAAAGCTATGATAGACAATGGCGTTAAATTATCACTTCACACAAATGACTCGTTCGAGCGAAATGTTATAATGTTATACGTTTTAATTCATACGGTTACAGCGTCGTAAACTTACTTTTGGTTTTTAACCTTAACACAAATTTAAATAATCCGTAACTCTCGCATCCATGCGCATCTTGAGTAATTAAAAAGAACGTTTCGATTTACATTCAAAAGAACTGCAAAACCTGTACACGCTTCCTAACAGTTATATGCTGTAGCTAAATACTTTGTATAATATTTTGTATAATACTACGTAATGCTTGTATACCTGCTAGCTGAATACTTTGTATAACACTACTTAACGCTTGTATACCGGCTAGCTGAGCGGAGTGCAGGGCAATTTTTAACGCAACAGCCGATAAAGTGCATGAATAAGCGTATTCATGAGTAAGGCTTTGGCAAGCATTAGTAAATGTCAATGTACCCATCTATTGCTAATATGATGCATGTGTCACTGTATGTGTGTGTGTGTGTGTGTGTGTGTGTGTGTGTGTGTGTGTGTGTGTGTGTGTGTGTGTGTGTGTGTGTGTGCGCGCGCGTGTGTGTGTGTGTGTGTGTGTGTGTGTGTGTGTGTGTGCGCGTGTGTGCGTGTGTGTGTGCGTGTGTT